GTACAACTTCCTTTGACACCACGACACTATGTCGTGCACTGACCACCTTTTCCAGACAGGCCAGGCATCGGGAAATAATGCACGATCCGGAGTTTACTGGAACAACATTCGAGTGTGACCTAAAAAACCACCTGCTTCGATCTGGGCACTCGGGCAGTGTCATATCCCGCACACAAATCAAGTAACTTGTGTGGCGCATATGTATTCGGTGCCCCTTTGTACCAATATTTATGTATCCAAATAATAAATAATATAATAAAAGTTGCATAGGTGGTGTAAACCCTTTTAAAGATAGGGACGACTGTTGATTCATTCCATGATGTTGGGATACTCTAACTGCCAAACGTTTGCGAATAATCCAGTTAGTTCTATAACCTATAGGTCGCCACCATCCTTAAAAGGAATCGGAGGTAAGTCAATTGGGTCTCGTGATTTGTGAAGCGTCATGAGACTGAGTTCTTTGCAAGCTTCCTACCTGTCAAGTGGGTGAATTGTCGCCAATCATAAAGGAAGTGACAGTCTGATCAATGTCGCCGGGGCAGCAGACCAGTTAAACTGTTCCTTGAAGAACTCTATCCATCGTCCCAGACGTTAGTTGGTGCTATTGATTGGCGTCCCGTCTGCTGTATAGACTGTTTCACTCACACTAGACTTCTTGCTACCAGTGGCTCTGATAAATTGAAAGGGCTTCCAGCAGTTACAAGATACAGCCGCTACTTCCAACTCATTAGCACGCTCCAATAGACTCGGTCTGTACACACAACTTCATTACTTGAAGATCTACATTTGTTGTCTAACTCACGGTTAACAGTAGACCGAAGTGCATGAATAAGTTGTAAAAAGCCTGTGGAAGCTCAGTGCTTATAAACGGAACGCTCCGTGAAACCGCAAGCGACTTCACTCTCTATTTTCAAGGTGTCACGCAAACCCGGCCAGTGATCTATACATTTTGGTTAGTTGATAGCTAGCATTAAACCTAGATCAGTTTGATACTTAGTCGCAACAGAAGCTAAAGTCAATGTACTTATGTCGATTCGTTTATGATGATGAATTTGTTGTAAGATAAGATCGGAGTCCAAATAAGTACTCCAAATGGAGCGACAGTCTTGTACTGTGGTAGCTGATCGTGATGTGATCAATCTGAGTTCAAGCTTGAAATGGAAAGCGAGAAAGGGCACATCGGCCATGACTGTGCCAATAGTTAGTACTAGCCAGCAACAGTTTGTAGTGTGAGCAAAGGTGCAGTAGATGGTCACCGTTATCTAACTTGCAACCAACAACTCTTCATTGAGCATCCGGACGTTTCTCCTCCGTGTCTAGACGCACGACCTGCTCATTTAAACCTGCGGCTAGCATTCCAATATCTGTCGAACACTTTCCGAAGATTACTAAACTGGTGGTGGGACTCATCATTGATTGCACCTAAGCTGCAATCTTTCGAAGCGTTGATGGGAATAACGAAAAGACATCACACTGACTTCTTACTTTGATGGCATTTTAATCTTATGGCACATAATCGACTTTTGATGTAGATCCAATCCAGTGCTTCCTCACCTCTGTTGCTTAGTGCGACATCAACCTCAGCAAAACCAGGCGAAGATGCCACATGGTCCCCAAGTAAACTCACAAAACAAGCTTTTCATAGCAATAGATGGAGAACAAAAATGTTATGGGTGTATCATTCGTACCTACTAACCCGGTTTAAGCACTAAACATTCGCTTTTCGTCCTTGTTACTTCACGAACAACACCCTCACCACGAAAAGGCAGTGGATGGGACTTTTCCGGTAGTGTTTATATACATGTGGCTATATGTGTTATATCCGAACAAAGAATAAATGAATAGTCACTACCAGAAGTTATTAGGGACTATTATTATGTTGGATGGCAAATGCTTGTAGGAGGCCTATGCTTCTCCACAAGGGGTAGCAGGCGTAAGTAAATAATTATGTATATTCTTATCGGATAACTATTGACCAACTATATGTATACCTTTTATCATAGGCTTTTATTTGACCTATCGGATTGTATTCTAACTTTCTACCCTCTGTGTTAGCTTGCAAATGTGTCGAATACGTATCGGTTATTCACGCAGTTTCTTCTCACCCATTCAATCAAATGTTAATTAAAATCACGTGATTATAATTTCGGTTAACAGACAGAGGCCAACTGAATTATTAGATTCTGTTACTGATAAGCCCATGACTAGTAAAGTGTTCAACACTTGATTAATTTAGATGCTGTTCAATTTTTCCCCACATTACCTTTAACATCCGTATTGCTGATTATTTATAGAGGTTACAGATCCTGTCGGTGATGTAAGAAAATTCATCCAGCACTTCAAAGAAACCTACGGATCTGTGAATACTAGTTTTGACGTTGATGGTAATTCAAATCCAACTGAAAATTCTACTTCTGATTCATTTCCACCTTTCTTCGAGGGAACTTATGCTGATGCTGTTCAAGAAGCTAAACAAAGTTTACGATTTCTGATTGTTTATTTACATGGAGATTCACATGAAGATACTCATAGGTTTTGCAAGTAATATTTTACTTATATTCTATCTATACCAATTCTCTGAATTTATCTTATATAGAATTACTTATATTTATACATATACACACCCCCATAATAGTAACAAGTTCAGTTGTTTCCGTGTCATTTAGTGTAATGATATTTTGATTAAGTTATATTTAACTAAGAGTTCAAGGACTTTTATGTTGAATCATATGATGTAACATTGAATCTTTCGAAATTGGTTGCATTATATATTTCTTCCACCACTGAAAATATTGCATGTTAGAAAATTGAAAAAAAGTTAATATAATAAGGTTAACTATTCGAGTTTGAGCAAGTGCTCTGTAAATTAATAATGTAGTTCTTTGATTTGCTTTTTAGGATTTCATAAATTAAATATTTAGTCATATAAGTTGGGAGCGTGTTCGTGTATGTGGGGTGGTGGTGAAGGAATAATACTCTTCAATTTCACAATGAAAAAGAATTTTTTCACTCATTTGAAGGCGAATAAGTATAAATGAGGAAGACAGGTGTTATATAAAGATCCAGTGTACATATTAGTCCTCATTGGATAGTTTATAATGAGGAAAGATGGTATTGTAATAAATCTCGTATTGAAATCCTTTTCTTACTTATTACTATATCCTTTATGTAATAATTTATCCGTTAAAATACCAATAATTAATCTGGTGATACTGTCCTCTTTTAGAGATATTCTTCAATCGGAAGATGTTTTACGGTTTCTTAAAAATTCCAATGAATTATTATTTTGGGGTTGTAATATTGAATCTCCTGAAGGTTATCGTGTATCACGAACTCTGCGAGAGCATACCTATCCGTTCATTGGAGTTATTGGCTTGACTAATATACCAAGTAAGCAGTAATATTTAATTCTGCACCAAGTTGGTAACTGTTTCTTACAGCTTTTGTAATTGAATAAGTCTTACAGCTGTTGGTAAAACCTGAACACTACCGTTTTAAAATATGGGTTCGGTCCAAATGAGTCACATTAGAATTTACGCCCCCAAATGCCCCGACAGATTGCAGCCCGGATGCAATCAAGGACGAGTTCTACCATCAGCTAACTGTTCTTCTCCAGAAAGTGCGTTCGACAGATATTGTAGTACTAGCTGGAGACTTGAATGCTCAGGTCGGGCGTCTAGGCACAGAAGAGAGTCGTTTAGGTGGCCGGTGGGGACTCGTTGGTCGCAGGACAGATAACGGGGAACGTCTACTGCAACTATGCACAGACCACAACCTGTTTCTGGCTAGCACTAACTTTCGGCACAGTCATCGCCGATGTGCCACCTGGCGTCCTCCTTCTGCATCTCAAGCCTGGACTCAGATTGATCACATCGCGATCAGCTACCGCTGGCGCGGTTGTGTACAAGACTGCCGCTCATTTTGGAGTACCTATCTGGAATCTGATCATGCTCTGATCTGCGCCAATCTTACCTTACTTTTCAGTGGACAACGAAGTGACCGCCACCACAGGATTGATGTTAGCAAGCTGGCTGCAACTTCTGTTGCTAGTAAGTACCGAACCGAGCTAGCTTCTAGGCTAGCTACCATTCCACCGAAAAGTATAGATGAGCATTGGTTGCAATTGCATGACGCCATGAAAATGGCGGGTACAGTCTGTTGTGGGTTTGCGAAACGTCCCGCTTACAAGCACTGGGTTTCTTCTGGTTCCTTACAACTGATTGAAGCCCGTCGGTCTACTCCGGGTGACCGTGAGTTTGACCTCAGACGAAGGATGTTACGTAATGAAATCGGGCAAAGCTTGCGTAAGGACCGAGAAGCCTGGTGGTCGGAGCGTGCCAGTGAGTTGGAAGCAGCAGCTGCATCTGGTAATTACCGGAAGCTCTTCCAACTCATCCGAGCCACTGGCAGCAAGAAGTTTGGTGTGAGCGAAACAATTTGCGAGGATGACGGAACGCCAATCACTAACATCCATCGACGTCTTGGACGATGGGCAGAATTCTTTGAAGGGCAGTTCAACTGGCCTGCTGCTCCGGCAACGTCGGTCAGACTGTCCTGCCCTCCATGGCCGGTGACGACTGATCCACTAAATGATGCGGAAGTCCGCAAGGAACTCCAACTCTTAAAACGTTACAAATCGCCGGGCCCAGACGACTTACCTCCGGCTCTTTTTAAAGATGGTAGTGACTTTCTGACTAAGGGACTGACGACGTTGTTTACAAAGATCTGGGAACTAGAGTGTGTACCAACGTCATGGAATGAGTCGATAGTTGTCCCTATCTTTAAAAAGGGTTCACGTTGTTCCTGTAACAACTATCGGGGGATAAGTCTACTTCCGATTGCGTCCAAGCTATTGGCTTCCGTCATACTTCGTAGGTTGTTCAGAACCCGAGAAGGATTGACTCGCGAGGAGCAGGCTGGGTTTCGTTCCGGTCGAGGATGTATTGATCATATCTTCACCCTCCGCCAAGTGTTAGAACACCGCCATACTTATCAAAGGCCAACAATCGTAGTGTTTCTTGATATCAGGGCTGCCTTCGATTCGTTGGACAGAACTGTTCTCTGGGATTGTCTATTGAAGAAGGGTGTGCCTGAGAAGTTTATTAACATCCTAAAAGCCCTATACACAAATACCTCAGGCAGAGTGAGGGCATACAACCACCTTTCTCCACTATTCCATTCGAGCAGAGGGGTTAGGCAGGGTTGCCCAATCTCACTATTCCTCTTCAACCCTGCCATCGATGACATTCTGGAAACAGCTCTGACGGATGTAAGTAATGGTGGTGTGGATCTGTTGCCTGGAGAAAGACTTCTCGACTTTGAGTATGCGGATGATATTGTCTTACTGTGCGAGAATGTTCAAGCTATGCAATCCGCACTTAATCAGTTGGCAATCAATGTCCGTAGGTATGGTATGTACTTTGCACCTTCGAAGTGCAAAGTTCTTCTACAAGACTGGCAAGATTCTAATCCTGTACTCACTCTGGATGGTGAGCAGATTGAAGTAGTCGAGAAGTTCGTGTATCTAGGTAGCTGCATAAGTGCTGGTGGTGGTGTGAGTGATGAGATCAATGCACGTATAGTGGAAGCCAGAGCGGCTTATGCCAATCTGGGTCATCTTTGGCGCCTTCGTGATGTTAGTCTGGCTGTAAAAGGTCGGATCTACAACGCGACGGTGAGAGCAGTTTTTATCTATGCTTGTGAAACCTGGCCTCTCCGAGTTGAGGATGTTAGACGACTCTCTGTGTTCGATCACCGCTGTCTCCGAAGGATTGCTGACACCGAGTGGCAACACCATGTTAGTAATGCAGAGGTTCGGCATCGAGTGTTCGGTCACAGAGACGATAATTCCATTGGTGTCACCATCTTGAAACACCGACTTCGGTGGCTTGGACATGTTCTACGAATGTCGTCCCAGAGAATTCCTCATCGTGCATTATTTGCCGACTCTGAGACTGGTTGGAAAAAGCGGAGAGGTGGTCAGTATATGACATGGTGTCGTGGTATAAAAGAAAGCTGCAAAGGGCTGGCTTATGTTGGTCCTTCACGACTCCCTGGTTGGGGTCCGAAAGACGGTGTAACGCAGTGGCTAGAGACGTTATTAGATATGGCTCAGAATAGAAGCCAGTGGCGATCGTGCTGTAACCTCTTACTTTCTTCATAGAAAGCGGTTATATCTTCCTTAATTGAAAGATCTCTTCTGATTGTACCTTTCCGTTTCCCCCACCATTGTTCTCTCTCTCTCCCCTTTTTTTTATAATTCCCCACGTTCATTACTTTTTTTTTCTTTTCTCCTTCTCTTCAAATTATCATTGTTTTGTGTGGCGCATATATATTTGGTGCCTCCTTGTACCAATATTTATGTGTTGAAATAAATAAAATAAATAACATTAGAATTTACGGAAATTATATTTATATATTCTTTATTGAGAAAGGTTTTGGATTTGCAATGATTACGTTTTGATTAATTAATAGAATACTGTTCGATAGTTAATGCACAGTGAACTAATGTGGTCGACTGGTAGATGTTCACGAGACCACATTATTGATAAAAAACCTGATATCAAAAGACAACATAACTGCTAACATAATACATCCTTTTACAATAAAGAAGCCATTGCATAAGAAATCTTAGCAACAAAACCATCATGATTAGACATCATTTAATACATAAATGACTGTAAAAAATGAGCGTTATTTGTCACCCACATGAATTAGTCCTGACTTACTCAATACTAAACATTCATTATGTAATATCATGTTAGAGAATATGTTCTTAAAATTGTGTACTGAGAAAGTTGTCATAGATTTAACATTAACGTGGTTTTGAAAAATATATTCATACTTAACTAATTTCGGCATACAATGTTTTGTGGACCTAGCCAGGCTCGAAAATACAGACTAAGTTTTGGTATCAACCAGTTTAAGTTTTTTTTAACTTTGTGAAAATGTTCTGTGACAGTATGAATTAAGGCCCATCTTATTAGTATAGATACATTCAATACTTTCAATATACCTCAAAAATAAATGAACCAAATAACTTTAAACCCAGTGGCTTCCAAGTTTAGTAAGTCTTTAGCTATTTATTGCCCCCAAATGCCCTGGTACGGCCGAGAGTGGGGAGAGTCCGCTCTCCCTCTCGAAATGCTCTCACATGGTCACGCGTATATAGTCTCTGCCAGGGAAGTCCTATTCACTGCCTTCACGTGGCAGGGGTGTTGTTTACGAAACTGAGAGGACGAAAAGCGAATGTCCGGCGCTTTAACCGGATCCCAAACCAATGGTGCACATGCCCTGACCGTTGTTGCTACCTTGACGTGGTGGTCGGGCTTGCCTATCGTGACGAAGCAACTGAGCTATACTGGCTGAAACAACCGTTCCTCAAGGTCCTACCATGCCAGACAGGTTGGTTGAAGAGCGGTAAGACTTAAAGCAACAAAATCAAGGTCCGAAGGCGAAGTCGTACTGCTGACTGTACAGAGGTGTGAAAGCAGTAAGGTGTTTCCTTCAGACAACCAGCATGACAGCGATGCTGCCTTCCCACAAGGAGAGGTGGGGTTAAAAAAGGTCGACCCTAAAAATGCACACCTCGCCTTATCCCACGGATATCCGTCTCCGGCGGTAAGGACTCAACAAGTACGGAGCTAACACTTAAACTACTCATAAAAAAGTCGTGTGTGACCGACCTCAAGCAGCTGTCCCTTGGGCACTGCGGTCACGCTCTCAGGTCACTGTGACCAACTCTAATCCAATTTCCTTTTCAGGTACCTCCAGCAGAACCCTTCCACGGTGTGGGCAACCGGGAAGTGATAATCGCCCTCATACCTCTAACAGCACTCAAGACCACTGTATTCATAATCAACCTACCTCTTCAATTCCTATTATTCCTCCTACATCGACTTTATACACTGAACTTCCTCTTTTGGTTTCCTCCTCAAGTGTCACCACAGCCAACGATTCTAGTGCTCAAAACACTGTCCCAGATCTACTGAAACCTCGCTCCAAACTATACATTGGAGCCTTCAACGTACGCACACTATGCCAAGTCGGTCAGCAGGCTTCCTTGGCTAAAACCTTAGAATCTCGTACCATTGATGTATGCTGTGTCTCCGAAACACGCATACAGGATCCTAGTGTGGTCATTCACTTGACCTCACCTCGGCAAAACGGAGAGCCAACGAGATACACCCTCCGTGTATCTGGCGACCCGATGGCTAGTTCTCGTGGACTGGCAGGTGTAGGCATAGCACTTAGCATGAGGGCGGAACAAGCGCTATTAGAGTGGATCCCCGTAAACAGTGGTCTATGCGCTGTTCGGCTAAACGGCTCGGTAAGAACTCGGAAGGATAGGGACACACGTCGTTGCCTTTTCGTCGTTTCTGCTTACGCTCCCACTGACTGCAGTACGGATGAAGTGAAAGATGAATTTTACAGAAAGCTGTCTGAACTTCTTCAGGAAGCTAAACGTTCAGACATAGTACTCGTAGGAGGTGACTTTAATGCCCAGGTAGGTAGCTTAAACGAAACAGAAAGACATTTAGGTGGGTATTTTAGTATTCCGGCACAGCGAACAGATAATGGTGATCGTATGCTGCAACTGTGCTCAGACAATCGTTTATTTTTAGCAAACAAATTTTAAGCATAAGGAGAGACATCGTCTAACATGGTGACCCCCTGCACCAAACCAACGATGGACTCAAATAGACCATATTGCCATCAGTCATCGTTAGAGAGGGTCAATAGAAGATTGTCACTCATTCTGGAGTACCTGCCTTGACTCCGACCATGCCCTAATACGAACACGCATCTGCTTGCGCCTCACTGGACGCAAAAGAGCCACACAAAAAAGACTCATTAGAACCGAATTGAGTAATGAGAAAGCCAAAAGTAGGTTCCAGGAACAACTGAGGTCGCACTTAGGTAGTCCTGAAAACGAGACTGACCCAGATGTTGCTTTGACAGTTATACAAGCAGCTGTGGAAACAGCATTGACATCTACCAGTGATTTAAACCACAGGGTTACAAAGAACCAATGGATTTCGTCAAGGTCTATTGCACTGATAGATTCTCGCAAACTCATCCCATCAGGTTCTGAATACGATGAAGAGCGTAAAGAAATCAGATCTAGATTAAGCAAAAGTCTAAAGAATGATCGTGAGCAGTGGTGGGCAACGAAAGCAAAAAAGATGGAAAAGGCGGCGATTATAGGAAACACAAGACAACTCTACAGACTAGGTTGACTAATATTTTAGCTAAAATCTGGGAGTTAGACGTTATCCCGTCTAACTGGTCACAATCACTTATCGTCCCAATATTTAAGAAAGGGTCAAAATCATCCTGTGACAACCACAGAGGGATTAGTTTGACTAATATAAAATACTAGCCTCGATAACTATCGGACGCCTAACTAAGACTCGTGAACTGCAAACACGAGAGAATCAAGCTGGTTTCAGACCTGGTCGTGGATGCATAGACCACATATTCACCGTCCGCCAGGTTCTAGAACACAGGCATGCTTATCGGCGTCCGACAATGGTGGTCTTCCTTGATTTAAAAGCAGCGTTTGACTCTAGATCGAGAGGTTCTGTGGCAGTGTCTGTCATTGAAAGGCGTACCTCAGAAGTACATAAACCTTGTGGAGGCTCTTTACTCGAACACTACTAGTCGAGTCAGAGCTTATGGCGAACTGTCATCTGCTTTTGCAACCTCATGTGGTGTCCGTCAAGGCTGTCCACTTTCTCCATTTTTGTTTAACTTCATCATAGATTTACTGATGGAAATAACGCTCTCATCGACTAAATTCTCGGGCATTGATCTCCTACCAGGAGGTCCACTTATTGACTTAGAATACGCAGATGATATAGTCCTGTTTGGTGAAGACGCTGATGAAATGCAGAGTCTTTTGGTAGCACTAAGCAACAATGCTAGAATGTTTGGGATGCGCTTTTCTCCCTCTAAATGCAAGTTGTTGCTTCAGGACTGATCTGCATCAACACCTGAACTAAGGATAGGGAGTGAAGTCGTCGAACGCGTTGACAACTTCACTTATCTTGGAAGTCTGATCAGCCCTAATGGTTTGGTGTCTGACGAAATCTCAGCACGGATTCGAAAAGCTCGTTTGGCCTTTGCCAACTTACGTCATCTATGGCGAAGGCGAGATATCCGTCTATCAATTAAGGGACGAGTAGTTCGTTCCGTTCTACTATACGGCTGCAAAACATGGCCTTTGAGAGTAGAAGATATTCGTAAGTTACTAGTACTTGACCACAGGTGCCTTAGAAATATTGCGGGTATCTGCTGGGATCACCGGGTAAGTAATAGTGAGGTTAGACGCAGGGTACTAGGGAATGATGGTAAATCAGTTGATGAGGTTATAAATCTTCATCGACTGAGATGGTTGGGCCACGTGTGGCGTATGCCTGAACACCGATTACCACGACCCGCAATGCTGACTAGTGTAGGGGATAATTGGAAGAAAGTTAGGGACGGCCAAACCAAAACGTGGCATCAGTGCTTGAAGTCACTAACTTCTGGTCTGAGCCATGTTGGAAGATTCAGACTGCCTGGTTGGGGTCCGCGTGACTATCGTAACCAATGGTTGGAGACTCTTGGTGACATGACTCAGCATCGATCACAATGGCGTATGTGTATACACTCTCTGTCTTCCTTAAATTAAGAGATTAAATTCGCTTCATATCTTTCTAGGAACTAATTCTTTCTTCCTGTACTATCTCCTTATACACAATCTTTCTTCTATATATTACCACCACTGAATTAACTACTCCTATGAATCCGGTGTTCATCTTGTTGTGCTAATGCGGTATGGCAACTTGGACCGATGCATATACGTGCCTGGTCCTACGTTGCAGCTGATTGACTGACTGACTGGTGCACATGGGCTCCAGTATCCTGAAGGAACAAAAGGCGTATAAACCAATCGTTGGTCACCGGCTACCATGGGACTGCATCTTCTTACGATGCTCCACTACCTTGTGGGTCAGACGTTCAGGTCGAAGTCTCAGGGTGTGGCCCCCTAAGAAAACTACCTGCTTCGGTTTGAGCACCCTGGCAGTATCACAGCCCTCACACATATCAATTGATATCTGTGTGGCACATATGTATTTGATGCCTCCTTGTACCAATACCTATGTGTTAAAATAAAATAAAATAAGCTATTTATTACTTAGTTTTCTAAGCTTATTTTATACTCATCGGTTTCATCATACGAAAACCGATGCTTCTGAAATTTTATATTATTTAAAGGTTTTGTTGTTAAGTTCCATTTTTTATTTTTGAATTACATGTTTCTTGTCTACTTTTCCATTGATGTTGACATTATTTCTCTTCTCCTACTTCTCATCTTGTTAATCTCTTCTATGTCACTGTTTATGTGTAAAGTGTATTAACTTAGCTCAGTACATATTTGTCCCTTGTCCTACACTACCTGTGACTGGAATGAATAAAAAACTATATATATGTTGTCTGTTTTTTTCCAAAAGCATAATGCGGTACTAAATAGGTTCACCTCAATAAATACTGTGTTTAGAGTAATTCTCATTCTTTTTTTTATCACTTTAATATATATGTATTACTAAACTATATAGTGCTTTCAATATAATTTAAGAATAAATCCGATTCTCATTTGTCAACCTTATTCCTTTGGTTGTTGGACTTAGATTTCCGACTTAAGATTTATGCAGATATAATTTGTTGATAAACGCGGGGGTGGATTGACATGTTAAATGTTATACTG